TCACGCTGCTAGTCCCAGGCCCTGGTCCAGGATGGCCCCATGCACTTGACAAACAGATCTCTCTTCCCTCTACCCTTCCAGGATGTTCACCCTGCTCTTTAGGCAGGGTGCCTACAGAGCTTAGCAGCTGCTTTCATCGAGTTTTTGGATATGAAAAGGCTGGGCTTGCTTGAATTTCAGTTGCATCTAAAAGCTCTTGCTCTCGTGGTGATAATATAGCACCATCTTGGATCTCAAAGAGAATACCGTGCAAGCAGAAGCAAAGAGAAGCTAGATTGTGACCCATTGCCTTTCAGTTACAGAGGTTTCCTGACCTCTGAATGTTGCCCCTCTAGCTTATCTGAGCCAAAGAACAAGCTAGACACCAAGCCTTGCAAGTCCTCATCACTCAGTGGCACAGAATTCACAGCTTTAATTCATGGGATACTTTCTTCCATTACCGATCACATTTCCGTTCTAAGCTCTTGCCCCTGCTCCACAAGGTCTTAAGGTCTGCAGGGCCAACCCATATGATCAGCTACCTCTCCATCTTGGATGCCACTTTGTCAAATACAGTCAGTGCCATGTGAACTTTCATCGACAGAGGATGAAGTTCTCAGTTCCACAAAAACCTAAGGAGAGACTTGCTGGATCAGAGTAAAAGCCTCATCCAGGCCAGTGTTCCATTTCCATGTTACCCAAAAGGATGGTGCCCCTAGCAGAACAGAAGGGAAATTGTCCTCTTCCACTGTTGTGCCGCAGCGACTGGTACAGAGGCCTGATCCTGGAGGGTGAATATGCTTCACCCATAACATACACCCAGAGTATGAGTTGTTGCCTTATCCAGAAATTATCCATGATTTCTTTGCCAGATGATCACACAAAACACAGACAGTTCTTCCAATCCCTGACTTGTCTGATTTTCTCCTCCTCTACCTACTCCCTCCCTGTAACCCAAGAGTCTTTGCAGTGCTCTAAATATTGGCATGTAGATTAGTTGTTTGCTTTTCATTCTTGTTCACTTCCTCTGGAGTCTGGCAAAACAAACTATGAAGAGGCTTATGGTTCTGTTTCTCCCATAATGAGAACCCATAGTTAAATAACCCAAAGTTCACGGCTCAGCAACAAACCATGGCTTCTCTTCCTGGGCTCTATTTGCAAGAAATATCAGCTCACACCTTGTATCAACCCATACCTCCAGCTGTTCTCATGTGCTAACCGGGTCAAGACCATCATGATCAGTAATCGGCAATAAACTCATCTTTCACAGCGAAACCCTGCTGTAGACCTCATGGCAAGGGATTTTTCGAGCACCTAATGAAAAGCAGCCCAAGCCTTTGCTCCCAAAGTACAGATGCAGACCCAAGCACACAGAACTACAACAAAACCTGATAAAATGTCAGGGCTCAGTTCAAAATCCTATGCAAAAATAACATGGAAGAGACTGTCTTTAGTTAGGTATGTGTAAGGTTCCCTCAACCCAGATGGACTCGAACCAGCCCACCAAACACAAATGAAATTGCAAAGTAGAACTTCCAAATCAGGGGGCCACAACTTCCAGGGGCACTTACACCTCAGCACATCTGCACATTTGAATTTAAGTGCAAGCCGAATAAACGACAGCATCACTTGCCTATTAAGAGAGCCAGTAGCAGAGTACCTGGTTCTCCAGTCTTCCCAATCCTATCCAACGGGTTATGGGATTAGGAACATATCACACAATAATTCTCATTCAAGCAAGGGAGCAGCTGGGGGATGCTGGGAGTTGTAGGCCTTTTCCTGGTCTAAACACATACAGGATCATGCCCTAAGTATCTCCTGCTTTGCCATTCCTTTCCTCCGCATCCTACCCCAGAGATGCTCCAACAGCAGTGGACTGGTGCCCCATTTTACTAAGGCTCCCAGCTCCACCAGTCCTAGACTCAGCGTGCTGCAGGTGTCTCTCACACCAGAGAAGTGGTGGCTGATGATCTCAATATTATTTATTTATTTATTTATTTTTCGGTTTATATCCTGCCTTTTTCCTACAAAGGGCTCAAGGCAGCTTACATCATTCTCCTCCGCCATCTTATCCCCACAACAACAACCCTGTGAGATAGGTTGGGCTGAGAGTCTGTGACTGGCCCAAAGTCACCCAGTTGGCTCCATGGCCGAGCGGGGACTCAAATCCAGATCCTCTGAGTCCCAGCCCCATGCTCTTAACCACTACACCACACTGGCTCTCCTTCTGTGGGTCCAAGCAGAAATTTCTGCTTTTTTGGAGGCACAGTAAATGGTGGGGAGCAGGACTAGAAAGGACAGAATAAAGGCAAGAGAGGGGATTCAGAGCAGAATGAAAACCTTAGCAGCACACAATAGTGGCTAAGAGTACTAGATGGAGACGAAGGAGACCTGAGTTCTAGTCCCTACTCGGCCGTGAAGCTCTCTGGGTGGCATTGGGCCAGTCACTCACTCTCAGCCTAACCTACCTCACAGGGTTGTTGCTGTTGTGATGATAAAACGGACGGTGGGAGAACCTTGTAAGCCACCTTGGTTTCCTTGCAAGAGGAAGAAAAATGGGATATGCCTGTCCTGAAACTATAATAGCAACAATACAATCTTGATCTTCTTCCCCTCCACATGCCAAAAATGAGACAGTTACCTAAAGGCAGGCCAGTGTCTGCTTCCTATTGCCAACTTGTTCTTTTAACAAGCCTCATATTCTGCCATCCCAAAAGAATTATGGTTTGACAGCCTTTGGTTTCCTCACCTTAGCCAAGCAGGCTAACAGTGGGAATTGACATTTATGGCTGGGGGAAGGGGGAGGGGAAGAGGAGGCAGAGCATCCAATTGCCCCTGAAAGTAGAAAGCTGGCACAGGAAATTGGTGAGTGGAGGAGGGCCTTAAGCACAATAAATTTGGGGAGGGGGAGAAAAGGGGGAGGATGCAGTGAATGTTTACTGGTTCTTTATCCGATCATCCATCCCCTCTTCATCTCCCCATCTGTTCATTCTTCAGCTATATTTCTCTGCACTATGTCCAGCTATATCTGCATTTGCCGCCACCCCCTCGGCTTTTGCTAATCATTCCAGCTGATCCCCCGCTACCCCTTCTTAGCCATTTCATTTCCCAAAAGGTGTGCACTTCCTGAAGCCTGTTTATTTCCCAACTGGGGAAAGAGTTCACTGCACACTTCCAAGAGACTGGAACCTCCTTCCATCCCCCACCCCCTGGAAAAAATTTAAGAGATTTGCAGCAATCATCAATCTATGCCCATCCTGCTTCTCCACCATCCTAGTTTTGCTCTTGACTGTGGAAACAGGACTGGTTGAAATGATGCCAATCCTGTCTGCTCAGCTCGTCTAAAATCAGTGGGAGCCTGGGCCACAGAGCTGCTGGTAGGCAAAAGTAAAAATAAGCCCTGCTTGTGGCTAATTGTGCGCGCGCGCGTGTGCGTGTGCGTGTGCGTGCGCATGGGGGAGTGCTGTATGGCTGTGGATGCAGTAACTGAAGGGTCTCTGGCAAGTTTCTTCCCGATCCCCCACCCCAGTCTCTACTGGCCTTTCTTTCATATAGGTCAGCGAGAAGCCGGAGATACGATACGAAGTGCCGAATACACGTACGCGCACGCCGCTGAATCACGGACGCCCCTTCCCTTGGACAGGGCAGGGAAAGCAGGGCCCAGATGGTGCTGCCGCTGCGATAGCGTCGGACTCTCGGCCACCTTCCCAGCTCTGGCACCTAAAGGTGGCCGCTTCCGAAGGGGCCCAGCCTGGGGTGAAGCAAAGGGCACACCCGCCCACCCCCACAGCCAGGTGCTCGTCCGCGGGGGGGGGGGGCATCGCGGATGGGCATGGCACAGCCCAGGAGCCATCACAACAAGCCGATGCGCCCCCCGCGCGCCTTTCCTGATTAACCATTCAGCCTGCATCCTCCTCCCATCTTGAAATTGTACGTGGGGAAAGGAAAAAGAATTGCGCGTGTGTGCATGTGTGTGCGCGCCCGCCGCCGCCTCTAATGCCTGCCTCTTACATAAAGACACGTATCAAGGAAATTTGAGGGTGGGGGGAGATCGGTCCAGGAGGCGAGAAAGGGGCAGCTGCCGCGATCTTGTCCTGGTTCCGGCTATTTTTTTTTCCTGCAGCAAAATTCTTGCGGGGGGGGGAGGCAAGAGGACAAGGATAGGACCGGAGACAAGATCTCCAGAAAGAGCCCTGCCCTTCTCTTTGTGCGTTACGGTATTTTGAGGGTAATTTCTCCTTCCCTCCCGCCTCCACCACATTTGTACAAAAACCGGGAAGTGGGGGGGGGGAATACCGCAGTAACGGCGGCGAGGGGCAGGGTATTTTTCTTGCAGATGGCTTTGTCTTGGGGCACACGCAGGGACCGAGCCGAGGACGGGAGACCGCCTCATCCGTAGGCGGAAAGAAAAAGGCGACGGTGACGGCGGAGAAAGGACCTTATTTGCAGAGCCCCTGTCTGCCCGATCACAAAATCTCCGGAGAAAACGGAGCGGGGGGAGGGGGAAGAGGGAGGAAACGGTCCCTTCCTCCCGGCATCGTAGTCCAGTCAGCAACACCCCCTCCCTGTTCAAGTCTCAGTGGCGCAAAGAAAGGCTGTCTGAGAGACGCTAATCAAACACCAGGTCCAGCAGCGCCCAAGCCACCGGGGGCGGGGGGGGGGCGCAGGTCTCAAGACGAGGAAAGCTCCGGTTCGAAGAAGAACGATAACAACAACGCATCTATCACCCCACCAGTCAAGGGACAGGCAGGCAGGCAGGCAGGCGGACGGAAGGACGGATGGACGGACGGATGGGTAAACCCTGCTAAGAGCGACCAGGACCCCCCTTTGAAATAAAGATGCGCCATCCGCCCGATTGATTCAGGTGTCCGAGGCCAACAGGGTCACTGATGGGGAAAGTGTGTGCGCGTGTGGGGTGGGGGGATCTCAGCAGTTCAGCCCCACCAACGCGCCAGCCCCTCGCGCAAAAGCCTCCGAGGAGGAGGAGGAAGAGGAGGAGGAGGCGAGAGCCGCTCTCTTACCTTCCGCGATCCAGTACTCCCGGGTTCCTCCATCCAGGGATCCCTAATCCATCCTGCCGCCAGGACGGCAGGGCTTGAGCCCCCGCAGGTATTAGGAAACACGAGGCAATCGGATGCGTGATGCGCGATCTCGATCTTCTTCCGATCGCTTCCCCTTGGGGCGTCAGTTTCAGAGAAATGTGGAGGGGGTGCACACACTCACACTCCAAACGACGTGTCCTGATTTCGGGTTGTTTTGCCCCCGGGGGGCGGCGAGTTAAGAGGACGAGGGGAAGAGAAAGGGGGGAGTCTGTTATAAATCAAGCCCTGTCCCTATTTTTTGTTGTTGTTTGTTTGCAGCCACCCCCTCCCAAAATAGCAAAAGGGAGGGGGGAGGAGGAGAAGGAAGAAGGGAGGGAGGGAAAAAGAGAGGGGGGAGAGGGGGAGAGAGAGAGAGAGAAGGGGCGAAATCAAAGCCCTCCTTCTCCTGATGAGATGTCAGTGGCGGACGCCTCCAGCAGGCGAACCGCCTCGCCTAGCAATGCGAAGGGAAATCTTAAAATATATCCATCCATGGAGAGCAGTCCGGGCATTTTGGAGACGGTGGAGGCGAGTGAACCAAGATCCACCCCCTGATCACACACGCGCGCGCGCAAACACACACACACACACACACGCGAGCGAGCGAGCGAGCGGCTAGGCGAGCACGCGCGCTGGCGACGGCGGCTGCGGCGGGGTGGGGGCTCCGTCTGCTTGCTCCGCTCGTCTCTCCTCCGCTCCCCCGCCTCGGTGCACGCAAACAGGCACACGCGCGCGGCGCGCTCTCACCGCCAGCAGCGACTGGGAAGGGACGGTCGGGGAGTCGGTGCTCCAGGCCGCCGCCGCCGCCGCCGCCAGCCCTCGCTCTAGCTTCCGAGCGGCCCCTCGAGCCTCGCCAGGGCGCGAGGGCTGTTTCGGCTGCCCGCCGGGTCCTGCTTGCAAAGAATCGCTCCCTCCTCTCCTGCTCCCGCTCCTTCTCTCCCCCCCTTTTGGCTGTGGACGCCCCCTCGCGGCGGACTCGTTCGGCCAAGGCGAACTAGGGAAGTGGATGCGAGGGAAGGTGACTGAAGGGGGAAGGCAGGCAGGCAGGCAGGCAGGCAAGAAAGGGGTTGGGGTGACAATGTGGGGGGAGCTGGCGGCCAGAGGCGATCACACAGCGGCGGCGGCGGCGGCGGCAGAAGCAGCAGGCCCCCTCGCCCCTTCCGGCGCCCTCCGCTAGATCCTTGGCCGCAGCGGAGCCAAGAGGAAGCTCCAGCAAAGATGCTCGGAGGAGGGAAGCTCGCGGCTTGCTTGGCACACCAGGGACCGGGAGGCAGCGGCGACCAGCCACCCACTGCCATCCAGGGCTAGGGGAAAGGCAGGAGGGAAAAATCGGAGCGGATTCCAGAAGGGACGCAGACACCTGGGAGGCCGAGGGAAGGAGCACAGACATCCTACGGAAGAGAAACCTGGTGCGGAACGGAGCGGAGGACTGGGCAGCGGGGCGGAGGGAAAAGAGGGTTCTGTGTGGAAGGAAGGAAGATCATGAATGGATCCAAGAAGGGCCGGGGATGCGGGAGAGAGAAAAGCTGGAGGACATGGGCAAATAGGTAATGGAGAGCCCGGGCAGGGCTGGAGCTAGAGCCAGCTCCCCCAAATCCACAAGGGCGTGCCGGAGGGAGGACGACGGGGAGTGGCGTGCACCGCTGGGAGGGGCACTTGGCCTTGCGAACCCCGGGCTGCATCTGGTGACTCGGGTATAGCCAAGAGTGGACTTGCACCAAGACACTAGACTCAGGACGGAGGGAGCCCGGAAGGGGGGGGGGGAATCCACTTTGGAATGGAGCCAAGTAAATGCCAGATTCTCCCAGCGGATCATAAGAAAAGTGCAAATCCTGGCATGACTTGGAGGGCGCACTTGACAGGAGCCTGAAGGCAGACTGTGGCTGGTCATAGACCTGGCAGGTCCCAACGCCAAGCCATGGTGGGAATTTCCAAGCGAGAGCCGGCAATAAGACATCCTGCTTTATGCTGCAATATTGCATGGCAACAACTAGTGGAGAGCAGGTACATCTTGCGCCTGGGTGTCCATGGAGTCAGGCAGACAGAAGGAAGCATTCAGGAGTCCCATTCAGGATGAATCCAAAAGGCAAAGCTAATACTGGTCTTGCACAGGTTGTGAGAACCAGACGTGTCCTGCTCTTGGCTGCCACACAAGGGCTTTTTAATTCAGCTGGGTGCTTGGAGCTTGGGTGGCAGTTTTGCAGGTTCCTCTTGCAACAAACCAACAATGCTCTGCACACAAATGAAGGAAGAAACCGTAGCTGGATGGCTGAGCACGTGCTTTGCACACAGGTGGCCCCAGAGTTTAATGCCTGCTATGTGAAGTTAAAAGGATCACATAACAGCTAATGTGGAAGACCCTTGCCAAAGCCATTGCCACTCGGGAGATGATGCTGAGCTAGATGTGCCAAAGAGAGCAGCTTCCTCAAACCTTACATCACAGGACCAAACTCAGCTGGCTGTTGGAGTACTTTCAGGTTGTAGCATGTGGATAGTGGTTTGGATACACTGAAAGCCATGCAGTCCACCTCTGCTCTTGAGCATGACCCACACACCAGATTAGCCCAAATGATGCCAAATTATTCACAAGCAAAGAGCAAAATGAAGAATCTAGTTGCTGGTCAAGGAATACATTCAGTAAAAAATAATGTACTAAATGAGGGAAGTAAATGCTTTATTTGTTTTTTCCAGATACTTGAAATCCAGACTTTAAAGCAGGGGTGTAGAACCAGGGCCCCAAATCTGGCCATTGCAGAGTCACAATCTGGCCCACAGATCATATCCAGAAAGTCACACCTCCTTCCCCTAGCCCCACCCTTTCTCCCAAACAGTTGTTTGGTGGTTTCTTGGCTTTTGCACGTTTACCTCCATTCTAAAAGATTGAAATGCCTTTCCTAAATTGGCAGCAGCAAGAACTTTAAATTAAAATATTTTGTTTTCGACCCCTCCTGCTTTGCCTGACAGCACCTTTCACTGGAATGAGGACCCCAGCAGCTTCTCTTTAATGGAATTTGGTCCTTATGCTGAATTTCTGCAGCCCTTGTTTAAAGGACTAGCAGTAGTACAGAGTCTTAGTAAAATGGGAATAAAGCTGTGCTGTTTTACAGGGGTGTCATAAGATAATATAGAAACATAGAAACAAAGCAAGGCAGAAGGGGCCTCCCAGGTCACCTGGTCTGGCCCCCAACTCCAGCTGGCTCTGCTCATGTAAACCCCAACTTGTGGTTGTCCGATCTTTCCTTGAATGCCCTCACTGATGGGGCTTCGTCCACCTCCCTTGGAAGCCCATCCCATATCCTTGGGGTCCTATCTGTCAGGAAGTACTTCCTGGCATCCAACCTGAAGCCTGGTCCCTTGAGTTTGTCCTGCCTGCCGCTGCAGGGAAGAACAGGTCATGGCTCTCCTCCACATGACATCCCCTCACGTACCTCTAAGTTGCCCAAGATAATAAAGAATTGCTGTTGAGCTTAGTGATATGGGTAGATACTGAACATTTAAAGCTGCAGCCCTAACCCAGGCATACCTAGGAGGGAGTCAGTTTCATAGAAATCCTAAGAAAAACATACTTGATTAAACATGCTGAAGACAGTACTGTGTAGGATTCATTAAACATATGCCCTTTTAGTGCTATTTTTGCCACCTTGCTTCCTGAGGTTCTTCAGTTGGTAGGCTGAGTATGCATGCAAGGAACCATGGTTTCAGCTGTGGCCTTACTTGCTACTGATTAATAACCACTCTGACGGAAGCAAAATGCAGCAGTGGCGACATTAGAAAAAACACCGGTCGGCCCATTTCCTGCACATTTTCTTGGCATAAGATCCATTATGTTCAATGGAGCATGTTCCCAGGGTATCTGTTGAGCAGGAATGGGGAACCTGTGGTCTTCTTGGCACTGAATTATGGTTCTCATTATCCATGCCCATTCGCCATGCTGCCTGGGGCTGATGGGCATTTGAGTCCAAACAGCATCTTTGTTTGCCATTCCTACCATATCGAATTGCAGAATGAGGGAAAACAGGCATAGGTCTATTCATACCGGTATTAGTACCTGTTAGGAAAACATTCGCCTGATGATCCCTGGAGGAAAATGAGTCATGGTGACTTGTTCCCAGCTCCCCTATACATGTTGTGCCCCTTGTGGTCCCCCTAATTGCCCTCATGGCATATGGCCTCACCTGTTGTCCATGCATGGCAAGGTGTGTGGCAGGTGCAAGTTCGAAACCATCCCAAAACTTGTTCTTGGCCTGGGGTGGTTAGGAAGCCGCCCCCACTGGGTTCGCTGGATTCGGTAAGCCTGGGAAGCTGTGCACTCCCAGGATAATTGGAAAATCATGTGGCACATGACTGGTATGCTGGGGGGGGGGCGGGGCGGGGAAGCACTCTGACTTCTTCCACCCGAGTCATGCTCTCACTCTCCTTTTAACCAATATTCTTTTGGGCATTTTTCTTGTGTTTCTAAGCACGGCTTATTCACCTTTGAAGTCTTTGCAGACCTCTACAAAGGGATGGCACATGGAAGCTGAACCTGCATTCTGTGTTCATAAGATCCATTCAACCCAGCTCACTTGTCAAGCAGGAAAAACATTTCTTTAAATGCTCCATCCAATTACAAAATAAATGCATGATCAGAGAGCCTACTTCTCTCTTACAGGTTTGCCAGAATAGAAATGTTTGAAAATATTTCATGTATCTACTTTAAGGCTTCAATCCTACATACACTTACTTGCAGGTAAGTCCCTCTGAACTCAGTGAGTAAACAGACAAAGGATTGGGCTTCATGGCTTGTTTCCTTTTATTAGCCTAGGCTGATCAACTGTTATCATTATTGGATGTTCCCATGAAGGAAAAACCGGTCCAGCTTTTGGTTCCTGCTTGCCGGAGGCCAAGACTTTTTCTCTCTCCCATTCTTTGCTTATGAATCCACCCCAGTTTTGCCTCCGAGCCAATCCCCTTTTTTGTGTCATTTGGATTCACCTTTTCAAGCTTCTCTCTGCTGCCACAAGGGCTAGAAATTCATTTTGTTTAAAAAATGAATCTGAAATGCTCACATAATACACTTTGTCCTCCAAAGATCTGGGCTAAGTCATGGTGATGTAGTCTTGGTGAATCAATTTTTCTCTGCAAGTATTTCCCAGAATAAATACTAGATTTGCTTGGGGGGGCGGGGGGGGGGAGAAATGCAACATAATCTGAAGAGGGGAGTGAAGGAGATCTCCCCAAACCTGCCTAGAGTCCCTGGAAGCAAGCACCCCATACCCACGGATGCTACATTGGGTCAGGAAGAGACTAGAGTGATATGTGCCTGTGATTTCAGCTAGTCCTCCTCCCGAGATCTGAGTGAGTCCAGCTAGCAGGAGATTCACCGGGGGACTCCAGATGCTGCTTCAGCTGCCTGGTGAGCTCTCTCTCTGTGGAGGAACTGCTGCAGCTTCTGTTGTAGCGGGAAGGAAGAACCTGAGCAAAAGCCTTATTGAATATTTTGCCCGATCCTCAGAAGGTCCTCCTACGTTTCAGATCGACAGGCAGAGCGTATTGATGATTAAGGCCAATGTGAGTAAATATGCCACAGCCTCTGAAGGAAATAGGCTATCGGCAGTCGGTCTCTGCCGTGCGATACAGCTGTGCAGCCGACTCCAGCAGGTC